TCTTTTTCTTTTATTTTTTAAAAAGAAAACAAACTATCTTTTTTCATTTTACATACCAATTCCAGTTAGCACTCCCTCCCCTCCTCCCATTCTCTCTTCCTTCCCACCCCCATCCATTTCTCAGAGAGGGTAAGGCACATTGCTTTGAGGAAGTACCAAGGCCCTCCCTTCTATGTCTAGGCTGAGCAAGGTATCCATCCAAAGAGAATGGGTTCCAAAAAACCAGTACAAGTAGTAGGGATAAATCCTGGTGTCACTGCCAGTGGCCCCGCAGTCTGCCCATACAACTGTCACCCACATTCAGAGGATCTAGTTTGGTTCTATGCTGGTTCCTTCCCTGTCTGGACAGAGTTGGTGAGCTCCCATTAGCTCAGGTGAGTTGTTTCAGTGGGTGTCCCCATAACGGTCTTGACCTTTTTGCTCATATTCTCACTCCTCCCACTCTTCTACTGGACTTTGGGAGCTTAGCCCAGTGCTTAGATGTGCATCTTCTTCCATCAGGTGCTGGAGAAAGTTCTATGGTGACCTTTAAGATAGTCATCAATCTGACTACAGAACAAGGCCAGTTAAGGCAGCCTCTCCACTATTTCTTAAGGTCTTTGCTGGGGTCATCTTTGTGGATTCATGGGAATTTCTCTAAGTGCCAGGTTTCTTGCTAGCCCCATAATGGCTCCTTCAATCACGATATCTCTTTCCTTGCTCTCATCTCTGTCCTCTCTCCCGTTCCCTCAAGTTCTCCTCTGCTCTCCCCTTCTCTCCTCTTCCTCCTCTCCTTCTGCTCTCCCTTCTGCCCCCCCACCCTGTGCCCATTTTCTTTGTAGATTTTTTTGAGGTTCTCATCAGAATCACTTTATTTTTTTTTGACAGTTAAATTTAGTTTTTATTTTTTTAAAACAAATAAAATTATCCACATAATATCTAGGCAGAAATCACTAGCTTTGTTCACTAATTCCTTTAAAATGAGAGAAATGATTTTTCCAAATGTGATATAAGCTTTTTAATTCTTCATTAAATATCCAATTAACTAAAAGACTAAGTTTTTTTATATATTTATTTATCAAAGATTTCTGTCTCTTCCCCTCCGCTTGAGTCTGGCACCTTAGACTACTCGGCCATCCTGACACACCTGTAGATTTTTTTTAACATCCAAAATTGTTTTGCTATAATTCCCCCAATGGTTTAAAAAAAAAAGCATAACATGTGTGTATGTATGTGTGATTTCTTCTGTGTTTTCGTTTCCCTCCTTTAAATTATAAATTGTTTCAGACGAGCTCAGGTTATTTTTGTTATTTGTTCTTTGGAAGCGAACAAATATCTGCTGAAGAACTAAAAGGAAAATGGATGAGGATCAGTGGGTGCTTTTAGTCTTGGCCTGTGATTTCTGTATGTGTGAAATGAAGGGAGATGAAGTTTATCTTTTAAAATTCAAGATAGAAAGCCACTTACCACAGAGAGAACAGCTGGGTGATTTTAAGGTTTGATGATACTTTACATCATCCCCAAGTGGAGCAAAGCAGAAAGAGTTAGGTTTGAGTGTGTTTATGATCAGTTGCTGAGCCACTTTGGGATCTACCAAACATTTAGCAGTGTGCTGCCTTTACTCTGTTTATTCCATTACTGTTTATCGTAATCAGACATAAGAACAGTGAAATATATTTCTGGTATGTTAAATTATATACTTTGAAGTCAGTGGTTTAATAAACCTCACAACTTTTAAAATAAATCTACATGTTTTTCATATTCCTAGAATGGCTCAGAGAAGACATAAGAGAGTGAGGACGTGGACCCGTCACATAAACATCTTTAATAAAGACTACATCTTTGTACCTGTAAATGAGTCGTGAGTACTTTTGATTATTTGAAAACCAGTTAGGATTCAAGAAAACTACTCGAGGTATAATCAATAAAAAGTATGGCATATATATAAATTCAAAGATCACTTAAGTTTTTAATAGAAAAATGATAAATTTCTTCAATGTTATAATAACCAAAACAATTAACTTTTTTGTCTTAAGAAATATTTTGTAAACTAAAAATATCAGAGGAGAATACATTTCTTAAGTTCTGATACAAAAAAGTGATGTTATTGGTCTCTTTGTTGATAGAGATCCTGAAAATAAAACACTGAATGCATGAGGGTAGATGACATTTGAACTGTTCGAACAGTGCATTACAAACGTTCATTTATGGCTTGGTAAATTGTGTCTGTTAGTGTGGACTGTGTGCTCCATCTTCCATGAAAGTTTATCACGTCTGATCCCACAGGTGGAGCTCTAGACAAGTCTTCTGTGCTGTGTAGATATGGCGTGTTATTGAAATTGCTGTCCTTTCAACAGGTCTCACTGGTATCTCGCAGTCATTTGTTTTCCCTGGTTAGAAGAAGCTGTGTATGAAGACTGTCCACAAACTGCATCCCAACAGTCCCCGGATCAACAGTCTCAACACGACAACAAAATAATAGGTGATAGGCATTGCTAATAATAACCACATTAACAAGCAGATTGATCGGAACAATAAGAAGTTAACAGCCTACCTATTTATTATTTTATTAAAAGGAGTACAAAATGTTTGAAATTCTCACGACACCCAGCCTTATACAAAATGCCATACTGTTGATGCTAAGTTTCATTATAGCATTTTAAGAGACTAGCTTTGCTAACATGACTCAGAACTCATGGTATGACTCCTCCATGCATAGCTTAAAGTCTCTAAGTTAACACTTCTTATATACTAGTAATTCAGAACAAAGTTAATAGAAATTATAGAAATTCTTCTATAATTTTCTTGTGACACGAAATTTTAAGTAAGAAAATAAGCCCATTTCTTTGAAAAATAAATAAAAAATTAAATGTTTTGTAGCTGTAACATAAATAGCAAGCAGAATTGGTAATAGCTTTTCTCACTTATGCTACCTAGAACCTGGGGAGGGGGAATTGTTGGGGCACCTGTTTATTTTCTGTCCTTTCTTCTCTGAGTTTCAAAAATAGGAACCATGATGTGAAAAGTTCACTACCCTCCATATTAACATAACATTTTTTATTAGTTTGCTAACATTTGAAGTTAGTCTTTTGGGAGGAAATGGGCCCATTCAATTTGTATTTAAGGTTTTCTTTCTGAGGTTTCTATATCATGTGATGACAGCCAACCCTTAAACAGTTTTTTTATCTGTTGACTAAGTTTTCTCGAAATACTGACCATAGGAACTATTTTTTCTTTAATTAGTACTGTGGATAGATCTTGAAGCTCAGATTATCTAAGTTATCTGTGCTAAGACACACCAAAGACTCATAGTGACTTCTTTGTTATTAGACAGTGATCTGCGTCCCACTTCAGCGGTGTCCGCAAGTGCCGAGGATTCCCAGGTAAGTGTGTTCTGCGCAGGCATGGAGGACAGAAGACTCTTAACAGTGACAACCTTAACTATAAAATGTGTTATAATAAAATATGGTATGCCTAAGTGGATGGAGATGGGATTAATGGCTCATAATTAAATTGTGCTCCTTTTTGATTATTTCAACAATTTTTGGGAAAGAACATAAAGTTACCATTCTTGCTGACTTGCTTAGATTGTGTCAGCTTCCTCTCTCAGAGGTTTATTGTGTGTCCTCTAGAGAAATAACGGCATTACTAAGGTGGTCTTTAGAAAAGTCAGCTTGATCTGTTAAGTAGGAATTATGAACAGAACCACTGTCAGCAAAGCTCACAGTTGCTAATGCTTTTCCTCTCATCATAGACAAGTTCCTGGAGTGCTTCTCAGCCTTTGGCTCAGACCAAGTGCAGATTAAAACCGTTTCTTGTGCTTCAGAGGAAGAAATGTGTCTCTACAGCCTCAATTGAGTTACAGAAAGTGTGCAGACACAAGTTATCTTACTTATCTTTAAGATAATACATGAACAAAAATAAAATTGTCTGTTATTGCATAGGCCCGGTTAAAGCATCTGTGTGAGGTCAGTGTGAGAGTTCGTTAGTCAGTGAGTTTTGGAAAATGGAAGCTAGCACGGTCTGTTTGGAAGCTAAGTGGTGAGAAAGAACTTTTACTTGAAAATTTAATTTCAGTATTTGAAACACTTTAAGGAATAAGTGGCTATTAAATGTATTAAACTAGCTTAAATTGTAAACACAAAAATTCATGTTATTTCAGAGTACCGAGATGAATATGTCAGTACCAAAGAAAATGTGTAAACGGTAAGTACATGTTATAATAATATATAAAGGTTTGAAAGTCATATTTATATATATTTTAAAGATATATTTATTTTACGTGTATGAATATTTTGCCTGCATGTGTATATGCATACCACATGTATGCCTGGTGTCACTGCAGAGGTCAGAAGATCCCCTGGAACTGAAGTTATAGACAGTTGTAGGCTGCCATGTGGATGCTGGGATCTGAGCCCATATTTTCTGCAAGAACAAGTGCTCTGAACCAAAGAGCCATCTCTCCAGCCCTCAGTTTTGTTTATTTATTTACTGCGTCTGTCTATGACATAGCACACGTGTGAAGGTTTGAGGACAGCTGTTGGGAATTGGTTCTCTCCTTCCACTATGCGAGTTCCCAGTATTGAAGTCAGGTTATGAGACTTATAGGCAATAACATGATGAACTATCTCACTCACCTGGATGTCTCCTTTGTTTGCTTGTACTTTGGTATCCATCTTTATATAAGTCTGTTTGTCCTGATTTCTTTCTTTGTGTGTTAAAGGCCATGCATTCTCATACTAGACTCCTTGAAAGCTGCTTCCATACAAAACACAGTTCAGAATTTACGAGAGTAAGTAATGACAGTTTTTACCTTCAGTCTGTTTTCTAAAGTCTCAGAACTTTGGTAACTACCTTAAGTCATAATAAAAACGGTCCTGGAGATGTGGGGTTGGTTGGCATACGTTAGCACTCAGAGGCAGTGTTACAACCTAACAGGCAAGGGGACTATAAATTCAAGGTCAGCTTTGTAGGACAGTGGACTAGAATAGTGAGATCCTGGCCACAGTGGAAAAACAGATAACACCATGTTAGTAATTTTATTTTTAGCATATACTTAAATGAACCTGAAAATCTGACTGCCAGCAGCATCTTCTATTATGTGTTAATAGTGAAGGATTTAGATTTGTCAAAGGTAAATTCAAATTTTTTATTTGTAATTGAACAAAACCATAATTTTATGCAAAATTGCGGGTATTAGTGACTATTGAAAATAAAACTTGAAAAGAAAGTGGAGACCTGTAAATTTCTATTTGTGTATGTATGTGTGCATGTATGGGGGAGAAAGCAGAAAACTGTCCATTTCTGTTTGTGGGGGGATCTTTTTACAGAAATTTAAAAATCATGTGGATGGGTTGTGGGACCGTGGCACGCTTGTGCCTAGGCCTAGGTATGGAGGTCAGAAGACAGTTTGTGCATTTGGTTTTCTCCTTCCACCAGAAGGCTCTAGCCAAGGTCGTGAGGCTTCGCAGGAAACTCGGATAGAAGGTGCCTTTCCCTCTTGGCACCAGAGAAGAGTTGATACAGGCGCTGAAAACAAACAAATGTTAAAGCCGTGCTTTCGCTTCCTTCATAATAGAAGTAGTGCTGTGAACACTAAGTTGTTAAGAAACTTTAGATTTTATATGAAAATCCCACCACTCTTCACAGTAGCGTTTATGAAGACTCATAAATTATGGTTTGTTGAAATTCTGTCTTTGGAAATTTAATCTGAAGCAACAGATTTGTCAAGGAGAGGTTTTCTTCCTTTGTAGAAAGTATTGCGGATTGATCAAGATTTCCACTCAAGTCACTTTCCTTATTGATTATTTCAGGTATCTAGAAGTAGAGTGGGAAGTTAAGCGAAAAACTCACCGTGAATTCAGTAAAACCAGCATGGTGGACCTGTGCCCTAAAGTTCCTAAGCAGGACAATAGCAGCGACTGTGGGGTCTATTTGCTGCAGTATGTGGAGAGTTTCTTCCAGGTATGTGCAGACATAGATTTCACTTCTAACCCACAGTTGCAATGTACAGTTACAAATTCTGACCAAGAAGAGGCAGGAAAATGTGACTAGGCAGGGACATATAGAAAAGACATGGAGGCCACAAGTGACCCAGATATGAGAATATGAACAAAATGTATGAAGACATGAAATACAGAAAATATAAAATGAACATTCTAGAGTTGAAAGCATACAGCAGTCTATTAAGAACTTGAGTGGAGTTCTTAATGTGGTTGATACATGTATGTAGGTGCCATTAGGTGACTGAGCCAGGAGGATGAGAAACAGAAACTCTCATTTAAGGCTAAGATCCTCATTTCGGTGGTTTGCAGGGCTGCCTAACCTTTTGACATAAGCCTTTTGCAATACAGCACTACCCTGTGCCCTGTGCTGCATTCATAGCTGTCCTGGGATGCATGCAACCTCAGGGCTGCAGGTTGGACACACCTGGAGCACACCAGCTATGGCAGGGGATAGGAACAGAAAGAGTCCACAGGTAGTTCTGGAGTAAGAGAATGTAACGAAGAAGCCGAGTCCGATAGGATGCAGGTCACATTTTTATATAATTGGAGTCCCAGAAGGCTTAGCGAAGGTGCCAGTAGGGCAGATAAAATACTAAAGAAAATTTTCCAGATGTAAAAAAATACCCATTCACTTAAAAAGCTCAGGACATCAAAGCTGAGGAAACAATTAGAAGCATGGCTATGGTTTTCTACTTCATAGAGACTTTATGCAGAGAAACAAATACAAGTCTTTAAATGGCAGGGAATCGGCGCTTTTCAGCACCAACTTGTTTAGTTTCGTCGTTACCAGCAGTGTTGCTTAGTGTGATATGTTTTTGACCAGAGGTCTCTGTAGAGAATTCTCTCCTGCACTTCAGATTTTCCTATGTCTTTAGTATTGGGAGGAAGATACTGCATAGTAAAAGATGGTGCACATTATAGAGATTGATCACACAGTTGTTACAGTTGTGTTTAGTCTCCCCTTGTATTCCACACTGGAACTTCATCATATGCTGACAGTTCTGGTCCTCTAGCATTGTTTCCAAGTAGATTTTGATTTAAGGTTTAGAATATCCAGTGGGCGTCATTAGTGACATTTTCTTACTTAGTTTCACAATTCCAATTTTAGGTAGCCTTGATCAATGATAGAATATAGGTTAAATACAGAATCACCATGGGAAAAGCTAAAAATTCTAAACTTATGTTTTGTGTACTGATGTAGCATCAAACAGGTTAAAAACGAGTCTTGAGGAACCAGCGGGTTTCCCTAAAGGAAACGGTACAAATTCTAGTAAAAATATCAGGCAGTAAATCACCACATAGGCATTTGTAGCATGAATAACAAAAACCCAGAGACAGATACGGGGTTCAAGCTGAAGACCAGAAAAGCAAAGCAGTCAACTACTAGAGAGACCTTTTACCTCTACCAAGTCTTCAGACCGAAGGGGTGAGGTCCTGTCTCCACGAATCCTCAGACTCCACACCACATTGAGTGCCTGTCCCCCTTTATAATCCTCTCTCTGCCCAGCCATATCGCTCCTGTCTCTACCTCCCTACAGCTGGGATTAAAGGCATGGATCCCAAGTGCTGGGATCATCTTTGTATGAGATCTGTTTTCTTTTAGACAGACTGGATCTAAGTAGTCCAGGGTGGCCTTGAACTCATAGAGTTCAAACCTCTGTCTCCTGAGTCCTGGGATTAAAGGTGTGTGCATCACTCCCTGGTCTGTATGGCTGACTAGTATGACTGCTTTGCCCTCTGATCTTCAGGCAAGCTTTATGTATTAAAGCACAAATAATATACCACTGTAGACATTGGCCCATATAGGGTTCCGAGATTCCAGTCAGTCCATCCTCTCACCCTGTCTTCTCCAAGATGTAAGTCCTTACATTATCCTTCAGATTTATGAATACCAGCTAAGGGTAGCCTTCCTTAGCAACTAAAAAAGTTAACTCAGGAGAAATAACTTCTTAGTTGTAACTTAACTTTGCCATTAAATTAACACCATGGAAAAGTAGTAGTTCAGAAAGCTGTTTCTTACCCTAAAAGACGACTTTTAGTGGGATTTTTCATGTTTATATCTCTGAAAATCTTTATTACCAGGGCTTTCTCCATGATAGTTCAACAGTATTAACATGTGTCTGATTTCTGAGTCCTGCTGAGTCATTCTTTACCGGTTATGACACCACTCAGACATGCAGTGTAACAGAGTAGACGATTTCATTTTAATGCTCAGAAGTTAGCAATTTATGAAAATGATCTAAAATTGATTGTGGCCATGGTTACCCAGCTGAGAAACTGAAAACTAATTTTGTGCTTTATGTGAGTGCTGTGGTATGGTGTGCAGCAATCTGTTGATTTTCGAAAGGTGTCATGTTTTCATTTCCCACGAAAGTGAGATTTTAAAAAATTGAAATCATGACGTCACACTAATATCATTCTTTCTTTTCTCTTTTTAGGATCCCATTGTTAACTTTGAACTCCCAATTCACTTGGAGAAATGGTTTCCTCGCCATGTAATAAAGACCAAGCGGGAAGATATTCGGGAGCTCATTTTGAAACTTCATTTGCAGCAACAGAAGGGCAGCAGTAGTTAGTTAATCTGTGCAGACATGGCTCATGCTCTCTAAATTTCCTGGCAAGCGGCTTACCGGCATTGTGTCAGCTTAGAGAGAAGAAAGTAACTTGCAGTAGTTCATAAATTGTTGAAATGTATATGGTATCTTGTTTGAGTCGTTGGGCTCTCACAGCTGCAGGTGTCATAGAAGCACTTATAGAAATTAAAATTTCATAAATATATTTTTATGATTAAATATGCTTGGATTATGCAATAGCGTATGTAATGTGGGAATGTTTTCGTAAGTAATAAATCTATGTGATCTGTACTTCCACATGACTGGGTGTTGATGGGAGGTGGGTTCTCCCTGGTGCCAGCCCCAGGACTTGTCAGATTTGTTGGCAAGTCACATCATATTGTAACTCTGTTCTTTGCAGCTCAAGCATGCAGTATGAATACTGTGTATTTTTTTTAAAAAGAACTTAGTATCAAGGCTTCAGAAAATGCCATTCACGGCATCCCTTCTGTATAGTATGAAAAAAGGAAAACCATTAGATACAAATTTACCCTTTCAAAGTGCAGCTTATTATTCTCAATTGCTAAATGCAATTTCCCTGCTCTGACTGTCCCCTCCCCCACTTCTTCACATGTCACAGGTAGAGGACTGAGAAGGGAGTTCATTTGTTCAGATAAATGTGGAACACACTTTAAAGTACCAAATAAGTTTTCAAAAATTATGTAGCTAAGCTTTGTTAATTTGGTATAGCTATATAAATATTCATTCCTACATTATCCTAGAATGTGTGTATACAGTTTCTATAAAAGATAAAATTGGTGTCCTCATAATTTTAACAGAGAAAATACTTTTAAACTTCTATTTATTATTTAGAACCAAATATGTAATTTTATAGTTTGGTTACCCATGATTCATCTGCAAAGCCAGATTTCTCATTTCTTTTATATTTTTAAGTTATAGTTTCTAAAGATTATGATCCCTCAGGGATCTCACTCATACAGCACCCAATATTTTATTAAATATTCAGGTAACAGTTCTACTGAATTTATGTGATGATGGTGGTATTATCTAGTAAGCACTTTAGAATCTTACGCTATCAGAAATATTTTTAGGGAGATACGATCATATTGTTTTATCAGATAATGGGTTTTAGAATATTATTTTAAACATCTCTTGGATTTACAGTTATAACTGTTGTAAAGCATTTGAAACAAAGTCAATTTAAGATAAAACTAGGAAGTCTGAAGGTTTTATTTCAAAATCAAGTGACTTGGGTTGCCAGTTAGCCTTAGTGTCCTCAGATTCAGCTAGTCTTGTCTCTCTTTGCACTGTTCAGGATACATGGCTTTGGAGATTTTACATGGAAGTGCTTATTAACTGCATATTTCATTCCCAACGTATGTATGTTGGCGAGAAAACTTTTTTTAAAGTGGCTGTTAATTGTTTTGTACATCTAATTTTGGAAAGCAAGTGTTTAAGAGATCTTGTAATTTCTGACCTTTTCTGTTTGTGTGTTTTTCAAAGATACCACTGTCCTTCATCATGTATTGGAGACTGTTTAAAATTTGTTTTCCTAAATTCATGTAGAAATAATGGTTTGAGGATGTCAACATTTTATATTAAACATGTTTTCAATTCATTAAATTGAGGAGTAATCTTTTCTTAAATATGAAACACTGCTAGAAATGGGTGACATTATCACCCCTGTGATGGGTAAAAGTTAAATCACTTCCTGTGGTGGTGGATAACAGTCAGAACTCTAAAAAAGTACTGTATAAAATTGCCTCAGGATGGATATGGGAGTATATAGGAAACATAAATATTTGTTTATTATGCCAGAATTGTATTTTTAACTATTGTGTACTGCGTATACCATGTAATTAGATGTTTAAATTCATTTTTTTCACATTTTAGCAGGTGTACAGTTAATTTGAATGTCTTTTTGTTTAAAGGAAAATAATACTTCAAGTTGAGCAACTTAATTAGATAAGTGTTGCCCCAATCCAGAACACTCCCAAATCTGAAGTGTTCTGAGCACCAGCATGATATGACAAGTAGAAAATTCCATTCTTACCTATGATGGGTGGCAGTCAAAACACTAAAATAATTGCTTACAATTAGCTCAGCATATGTATGAAGAGTAGGTATGAAACATACATGAATATCATGCATAGATTTGACCCCTTCCCTCAAGATATAGCCATGCATTTGCAAATATTCTAAGATCCAACACATGCAATTCTTCTGCTCCTGGTATGTCCCATGATACCCATCTCCCATATCTGCTAATAGCCAGCAGTACACGTGAGAACATGCACGCCAGGGTCATGGGGCTCAGTGGGTAAAGGCATTTGCTGTGTAAACCTAGTGTGCTTGTTTGCTTTCTGTTGCTCTGGTAAACACGATGACCAAACCAGCTCAGGGAGGAAAGGGTTTACATCATCCGTCACTTACAGGTCACAGCCCCTGAGGGAAAGAAAGCAGGGCAGGAACTTGAAGCAGAAACCATGGACGAACACTGCTGGTTCAGTTCCTCTGCCAGCATTTTGCTAGACACACAAAAGACGAACTTCTTCCTTTTTGAAAGCAAATACTTTTTATAATACTTGGTATTTATTAACTGAAAGTTTTATACATTTTGGTTTTATATCCATTTACTGTTACTCTCTTCTCATGCCTGTAGCAAGCTTACTTTGGGGCCTCAACCAGCTCCCAAATCCTGACATGAAGACTTAGTTATGAATTAGTTCCTTATGAATGTTTGGCCTTACGCTTGTTTCACTAGCTCTTTCAACTTAAATTATCCTGTTTCTTTTCATCTGTGTTTGCCTCGGGGCCTTTTACCTTCCTTTCCTTCTGTTTTGTATATCTTACTTTTCTGCTGTCTTCACGGCTGGCTGACAACTGCCTGGCTTCTAGTCCCAGCCCTGTCTCTAGAACTGCCCGTCTCTTTCTCCCTTCTCTCTCCAGCCTAGACTCCTCCTCCTCCTTATTCTTCAACTGTCTGTCTCTTTCTCCCTTCTCTCTCCAGCCTAGATTTCTCCTCCTCCTTATTCCTCGCCCACCAGCCCTGCCCATCCCTCCCCTACTCAGCTGTTGGGCATTTAGCTTTTTATTAGACCAATCAGGTGCTTAGACAGGCAAGGTGAAACAAATACAATGTATCTTTCCATATTTAAGCAATTACAGCATAAACAAATGTAACACACTTTTACACAATTACAGTAATAGTCCTCAACATAAGCAAAAGTAACACAAAATAATATTCCACAGCAAATGCTCACAGTGACGTCCCCTTTGTTACCCAACTTCATGCCCTTTTTGTTGTTTATTAAGAATTCTCTGGTCTAATTACTGCTTCCTGTTGGAGCATGGATGTGGGGGCCATCCACTGGGGCATAGGCCTCTTTTTCATTTAGCTTTTTTTAAAAATATTTATTTATTTATTTATTTATTTATTTATTTATTTATTTATTTATTTATTTATTATGTATACAATGTTCTGTCTGTATGCCTGCAGGCCAGAAGAGGGCACCAGACCCCATTACAGATGGTTGTGAGCCACCATGTGGTTGCTGGGAATTGAACTCAGGACCTTTGGAAGAGCAGGCTCTTAACCACTGAGCCATCTCTAGCTTTTTTTTTTTTTATTTGTTTAGCTTCTCATTACTGCCTAGGCCCACCTCCCAGAGGTGGTACTGCACACAACAATGGGCCTAGCCCTCCCGCATCAGTCAGCAGTCTGACCCCAAGGGTCTCAGGTCAGTCTCATCTGGGCAGTTCCTCAAATGAGACCCCCTCTTTCCAAGTGACTAGTTTGTATGAACTTGACCATAAAAACTAACCAGGACACATAGTGACCCGAGTTTGGTTCCTGGAACCCGTGAGAAGGTGGGAAGAGATGGCTGACTTTATGTTATTCTCCAGCCTCCACATGTAGCTGTGCCCTGCTCACCCACATACATGTTACGTACATGTGTACACATAGATGCATACACTAGTCATAAATTAAGAAACGAGCTCTTCTGTTTTTGAAAGCAAACATTTGTTTCTGGACAGATAAACAAGTCTAATAATTTGGTAAAAATAGTTTCTCTGAGAGTGGGTGAAGCTTTGTTAGCGTAGGATATTGTTGAGAGGCAACAGACAGTGAAATGCATGCTAATGGCCAGAGATTATTTGTAGAGTAGATAACAAATTTTAATTTAAAACTCTTGAGATTGGGGTGGAGGAATGAGTTTTTTTTTTGTTTGATTTTGTAAGTCCGCTTCGATCAGATAGTGCCTGAGAAAGTTTTAAACATCTTAGAAATCACCATTTATTTATTTATTTATTTATTTTTGCGGGGAAGGTCAGGAAGGGAAACGCCTCAGTGTGTCATCCTGTTCCAGCCTGTTTGTCTATCCTCCGTTAACTGGCATATTTCTGTGCGATTTTGTAAACGCTGCCCATCACATGTCATCGTGTGTCATCACGTGTCGTTACGTGTCGGAAGACAAGGTTCTTTGTATATGAGGCTTCCTGTCCCCGTGGCCTGTGTTTATTCAAATGATCTCATCTGTTAAAATTGTATTCTTTTGGGGGGAACTGGAGAAATCAAAGGGTCAAGAAGACCTCAGATGAAGATGTACTTTAATTAAAGTTACCATGGTAACAACAGTGTGCCGTATTTTTCTGTAGTGATAAGAGCGGTGGGGCTGTGTCCCCGGCACCCGGCTGCCCACATGGCTTACTTATGCCCGAAATAATTACACAGAAACTGTATTCTTTTAAACACTGCCTGGCCTGTTATCTGTAGCCTCTTATTGGCTAGCTCTTACATATTAATCTAACCCATTTCTAATAATCTGTGTAGCCCACGAGCTGGCTTACCAGGAAAGATCTTAACCTGCTTCTGTCTGGAATGGGAGAATCATGGCGACTCTCGACTAAGCTTCTTTCTCCCAGCATTCTCTTCTGTTTACTCCACCCACCTATGTTCTAACCAATAAAATGGGCCAAGGCAGTTTCTTTATTATAATTAACCAATGTCCTTCCTCCATCATTTTTCAACAAGGTATATGTGGAACCAGGTAATGGACTATTGTTTTGTGATGTGAATGCCACTTTGAAGCCCAAGTCAAAGCTGAATGCCTGGTTTGGCTTTGCTTCTGAATAGGTTAATCATTCTCATGTGTTCATTTTAACTCCATTTTCGACGTAATTTGTAACTGCAGCACTTCTAGTCCCAAGAAAGTGATGCCTAATCTAAGTCTGTTATCCAACATTTTGCTAGACACACACTGGTGTGGGAGGTCCTTCTGTATATGTGTTGCTTTTATTGGTTAATGAAGAAATAAGCTGCTTTGGCTTGTGATAGGGCAGAATAGAGCTAGGTGGGAAAACTAAACTGAAAATAGGCGGAGTCAGAAGCCATGGAGCTGCCAGAGGAGAAAGAGGTGAGCCAACAGCTGGAACCTTGCTGGTAGGCCACAGACCTCATGCTAAGGTGCCTTCTGGCGGCTCCATGGCTTCTCCCTAACTGTGCCTACTCTATATATCTCTTTCAGCCTGGCTGTGCTCTATTTAGCCACTGGCTGAAAGCAGCTTCTTTATTCCTTAACCAATAAAAGCAACACATACAGAAGGACTTCCTACACCAACACACACACATACACACACACACACACATACACACACACAAATGAACTCTTTCCTCTTTTGAAAGCAAATACTTCATCTCCCTCTAACACCCCAGTACCCTCCCTCTCACCTGACTTCATGACCTCTTTTTATGTTGTTGTTGATTGACAGCTCCCTGGTCTAATTTAGTGTTTCCCATGTCAGCATGGATATGGGGGCCTTCTACTGGGGCATTGACAGTCTACTAGTGGCCACACCCCAAAGGAGAGTGACATTTCCCCCAGCGGCCAGCCACCAACTGCTAGTAGCTCTTTCACCAAGGGTGGGATCTCAGGGGCCTGTCCCCATTCATGCTAGTGTCCTGGTGATTACTCATTTCCAAGTAACACTTACATTGCTACTCCTGTTTCTAAAACGCCTTTGTAACACTCTCAAAGAATAATCACACAGAATAATTCATCCTTCTGTTCCTAAAAATTTGTATAAAAGTTTGATTATTTTGATCCCACGTACACATGGACTACAAGTCCATCAAATGCTGCAAACGTTCTGCATTTGAGGAGGTTTTTCTCAGTTTAAGTACAGCAGTGTTTTCCAGACTGCCTTGGTTCTCAGGAGCTTTTCATTCTTTGCAGTAGGATAACAAAAACAATAATAATGAAATGAATTGATCTGTTAATTCTCTCGGCAGCTCCCCCATGGGCCCCCCTTTATTATTCTTGACGGTGCACAAGGAAGAAGGCAAAGGAAGTGGTTACAAAGGATTTTCTCCTATGCAGGAAAATGAGCACTTGTGGCTTACAGGTCTCTGTCTTAGGAAAACACAGAGAACATGTAAGTCTACCACGCCTGAGAACGGAGTCAGGGCCTTGGGAGGAAAGGGGCCTGTGAAGCACACTGCAAAGCAGGGCTTGTTGAGGAAGGCGGGGCTTACTAAGGCGCTTAGGTGGCTAGATTAGAATTCTCTCTTCCCATCTGTCCTAATTAGCTTACCTCCCTGCTTCCATAGTGTCCCTGTTAAG